CACACACACACACACACACACACACTGTCAGCATGAGTGGAGTTGTAGTACATTTGACTATTTCCTAATATATTCCTTTCTCCCTAGACTTGACACGAGCTGTCAACGCCCTGCCACGCAACATGACCTCTCAGATGTTCAGTGCCATCGCCGCAGTCACAGGCCAGGGCCAGAACCCCAACACCACCCCCGCGCAGTGGGGCTCCAGCCAGTACGGTTACGGTGGCAGCACAGGAGGAGGAGGAGGAAGCTCTTCTGCTTATCATGTGAGTGTAGTTCTGAGTAAATAGGAGGCTTTGTGAAAATGCAGCTCAGCAAAGGCAACACAAGTTGATTTGTTGACCTGCAGATTCGTGAGCTTAATATTTTGTGTTTTCCAGGAATTATGAACAGGAATACAAAACACAATTTCAACACAAGTTGAGACTTTGTGCTCGGTCCCAGCTCTTAAAGACACTGTTCCTACGTTGGTTTTTTCTTTATGAGCAATCTGTGTGTTCAGTCCAACAAGCTCTGTATTGTGAAACGCTTTGAACTCAGTTTTATGAAAAGTTTATTGTTCTTTATACTTCCCTACGCTAATAAAATATATATTGACGTTTCTCAAGTAACTCGGTGAGCCACACTCATTTCCAATACTTGCTCCCCTGCAGGTTTTTGCCACACCTCAGCAGCCCATTGCGACGCCCATGATGACGCCCAGCTACTCCTACACCACACCGAGCCAACAGGCCCTGGGCACGCCGCAGTACCCCGGCTCCACCCCGCAGTCCTCACACTCCCATGCACACGCCCACCCACACGGAAGCCACGTGTCACACCACAGCCATCACGGCCATCATAGCAGCAGCAGCCACCACGGCCACTCGTCGGGCACGCCGTCATCCTCCACCTCGTCCAGAGGACGGACGCCACAGCAGCAGCAACCGCAGCAACCGCAGCCAAAGTAAGTACAGGAGGAATATGTGTGAGCAACCTCGGTAACTTCACACACGTGGTTCCTGAAAAAGTGTCCTGGTTTGTTTGTATAATCAACTAGTTAGATTTACTTATTTTTAATAGTCAAACTGATTGTTCATGTCCAGTTACTCCTCTAACGTTAAGTTTAACAAAGTCCTCGTATGCTTTGTCAGATTTTCCCTTCACCTCCAGGTCAGGATGTTTAATGTCCGTACGAGAGTCCTGCCATTAGATGGAGCTAAAACAACAATCTGCATCATCTTAAGGCTGAGCAGCAGCCTGCCATTCAATCTGTTTGTCCCTTCCTACACTGTCTAACTAAACCACCTCCCACCCAACAGGGCCAGTGGCAGCAACGCCTCTGCTGTGGACTGGGGCAAGATGGCGGAGCAATGGCTGAAGGAGAAAGAGGCAGAGGGGCGAAAGAAAGCCCAGAGGATGACGCCCCGACCGTCGCCCAGCCCAATGATCGAGAGCACGCCCATGTCGATCGCCGGAGACGCCACACCCCTGCTGGACGAAATGGACCGATAGGACACGCAGGGGGGCGTCCCTACAAACCCCCCCCCTCACCCAACTCCATCCTCTACACTGCTTCTTCATCTGGATAACCATCCACATGCTGTTTCTCCCACAACCCATCATCCTTTTCATCCAGCTGACCAGTAGTTGGAGCCCAGTCATGTCCATTCATACCGTTCTCTTCACCTCCTGATATTGTAGCTGCAGTTTATCAGTCTGATATCATGGTTCCTCTCAACTCTGTCCTTCCTGTTGTCCTCCTGTCTGCCCACCTCATCCCAAATGTTTCACCTCCAGCCAACTCCTCTGGCTGCATAGTATTTTGTATAGTCAGAATAACACTGTATATGTCATGCAGAAAGTCATTACAATGACAAAAAAAAACTTGAAATATCTGACAGCAGTTACATATAGGATATGGACCTACACAGACTACATCAGACAAGCTGTCCTACTATCGTTACTTTTTGCGCTTGGTTTTAGTTTGATCTTTGAATGTTTTTGACAGAGGGACACCATTACAGTTTCCACACTTCCTCCTTTATGGTTGGTGGATTTTTGCGAGCAGTTGTCAAAAGAACGCTTTGCCAAGCCAATCAGGAAATTTAATTTTGTATGGAATGCGTCAGAATTAATAAAGACTGTTTTTTTTTTTCTGTTTGAACGTTAAGCCTCCACTCTTCACATCTGTCAACAGCAAATACATCTGTGACTGCACAGATACACAAAAACACACCGAGTGAGAGAGATGAGGCTGACTTAAAAAAAAAACTAACAACAAAAGCAATTAAATTAATTAAATGACCTCAGCTTGAGTTTCTCTCAAACATGAATTACTGCTAGCTGTCTGTCTCCACCGCACGCTGTATTATGATCAGCTGACTGTTTTGGCTCCTGTAGATAGCCTCTAATGTATTGTTGACTCTTATTTGACCTATCTGAGAATACTGTGTGGACTCTAATGTGCCACGTGTGAGGTAACCGGTTGTTTGCATTTCTCGAGGCAGCGCAGAAGAAGTCAGTTCACATTTTAATGCAGCTGATTTCAGTAACAAAACCCAACAGGCAAAATGGAAGTGCCTCGCCACGTCAAGCGTCCAGTGTCCGAGGGTCTTTTTTGTTTTTTATAAGGTTTAAGTTTTAAAAAAAAAAAAAACATATTTGAATCTCTTGTATCTTTTAATGTCTGCAGTTCAGTGACTATTTGACCTTTTGACCTCTGGGTTATGATGTTTGCCACCCTGTAGGATGTGACCCCACACGCCGCTGCGTTAATTCAGTCCCAGGCAGGATCAACAGTTAAATTAAGATGTTCCAGTGTTTCAGAGTTCAAACATCTCTAACCGTAACACTATCACCAGAAGATACAACTGACTTCCCACTGTGTTTATATTCCTAACTGTATAATATTCCCAGTTGCACGCAGCTATTTCACTAGAATGAATATATTGTTGTTAAAAACACGTTGAATCTCTTTTGTGACTGTCGTGTGGCGGTTTACGGCCACTCTGCATCCCTCTTGACTTATGCATTCAGTCTTTGTTTTTGCTTTTTGCTGTGCCTCTGTGCCACAGTACAAACAAGCAGCGCTGGTATTCAATGGTGTGCTTCATTTTGCGGTGTGCAAAGTATCATGGTCCCATAATATGCATATTGTTTTAAATAATTATGGTTTATGAGTAAACTTGGTTTTACATCTCTTGCCAGATTAAGATGTTGCATCTTTCTCAGCGAGGCTGTGATTGGTTCTCGGCAGTAGTTGGTGACAAAGGAGAAATGATGTTACTGGTACTGCTGATGACCTTTTATACCTGTGATCCCTTTAATAAAAGTGTTCATATTATAACCCCCGAGTCTTGTTCATGCTAATTTGGGAAACAGACTGGCACTCTGGACATGTGATGTAAATACAAGTTTGTGTGCGTTTCTCCACCGTAGAAATAGGATTAGCTGGGAACAGAATGTGAAGCATTTTCCCAACCTTAACGCTTCATTTACGCTACCTAAACTTTATCATTTCAACAGAAGGGCAACACAGTGACAACAAGAGTATTTGCGATTCATAATATATGAGCTATGATAAAAATACATGTATTTATAGCAGGGGACGAGAGAATATAAGCAGGTTTCTGAGAACACACATTTCATCCTCAGGTCTCGCTTTACTGAGTGAGCAAATGAATTAGTCTCAGATGTAAGTGGCTGCTCCCTGCAAACAATCCCTCCACTTTTGAGATCATGAGAACCCTTATGTCAGAGGCGAGAGATGCGTTGTGGGTATGACCGCGGTCATGGGAGCTGGCGTACGCATCGCATTAGCAGTACAGACACATGACAGAAGACCAGTGAAGGAGTGGTGCTGACATTTTCTCCAATAACGGAAGGGGAAAATGTTGCTTCAGACAGACAGATGGACACGTGTTTATGAAAGCATCGACAAAGTGCAGTTTAATAAGAGAGAAGGAGAATAATCTTCCTCTTCTGAGAAACGCTCACCGAGCACATCACAAAGCTTTATTTGTTGTGACTCCGGCCAGCAGTACAAACATTCCTGAGAAGACGCTGAGCTGCTCATTCTGCTGACTGACTATTGTTGTTTACAGCCTTAACTCCGTCATGTCAAACCTTCAACTTCACCTCAGGCCATCTGCAGAACACCACAAATAAGCATTTAGTTGAAATCGCTTTTAAGGAGGTCTATCCACATTGAGCAGGCTGAGTCCATATTTCAGTATCTTCTCCTTCAGTGTGCCGTCGCCGTGTAGTCAGTACAATGGATCCAGGCCGGGGTCCAGGTCGATCATTTCTCTCTCATAAGCAGCAGTTGGGCTTCCTCTTGGTGGGTTTGTGATCTGCCTCTGAGCTGTCCGTGAGCCCTGTGGAACAAATAAAAACACACTTTTTTGTATTTGAATAAACAGTGTGAGCCACAGTGGGAAAGGTTTAAATGATAAAACCGATCAATATTCTCTGTTTTACTTGTAACAATTCCCCTGAGATTGTCCTACGAACAATATTGCCTAAAAACTTCACAGTTCAGTTACAGACTGAATACTTTCATCCATTATGTAACTGGTGGCAGTAACAAAGAAGAATAGCAATACACAAACACGTGAAACAAATAAAGCTTTCTAGAAGCTACATACAGAAGGAATGCATTTAACATGTTTGTTAGGGACACAAAAAAAACTTCTGCAGGCACTTTTAACTTCATGGGGTAACAAGCAAAACAAGTAGTGCTTTTAAAAGATTTACATCTTCAATAGGAACAAATGGACTTTGAGTATGGAGGTGTGAAAGATTTTTTATTTTTTGTAGGTTGAGATTTGAGACATTACTGAGAGTCTGACATTTGAAGATACAGTGGTTTCTAGATATTTAGGGAACTAATTAGTTGGTAAATGAATCTAAGAAACAGTCGAATATGATGCTGCCTTCTTCATAATGAGACTTTATTGAGCAAACTGACTCACTGATAATGTCACCAACGTGCCTCGAGCCACTTTTCTCGAGCTCAGACAAAACGTTGGCCTCAAAAGTCAGAGAGGCCAGACGGAAGAAGAAATCTCTGACACCATCTCCTGGAACAATACAGAGAGACAGGGAGGAGTTCAGTGACACAAATGGGACAAAACAGAAAATGAAAAGCCGCATCGGGTGGTGGGAGATAAGGCATGTTCATCGTGTGACTGACTCCCACCTGACTTCGCAGACACAGCCCAGTACTCTGCTTTGATTTCCTCTGACAGTCTGATGGCTTCCTGCTCAATCTGAGACAACTGGTCTGGAGACTGAGGAGTGAATGGAAACAGGGAAGCGGAGGAAAGCAGTGAAGCAAACAACAAGCTTCAGATCACTACTGATTTTAAACTAAAAGTAAGGTGAACAGTCAGATATTCAGAGCTGCAATGGTTTGTCAAACAACAGAAATGCTTTTTCCTCATCTTACATGATTGAATAGTTTTTGAACTTAGGACTGTTGGTGGGACAAAACAATACATTTAATGATGCCAATACATATGATGCAAACACTAATAATAATTTAATCGACAATTAAAAATAAACTTGTTAGTTGCAGCTGAAGATGTTTCTACTGAAAGCTTAATTTAGAAACTAGTGTGTAGGATGTAGTGGCATCTAGCAGTGTAGTTCATCAGTGTATATCGCAACTCATTCACTTCACTCTCCGTTTCCAAGTGCAAGGTAGAAACTGCAGTGAACGCTGATCCTTTATCATGAATACTGGGCTTCCATAGGAATGCTCACCCAGCATTTGGCACATTTTACTGCGTATTGATAACTAGCTGTCATTGTTATTTTCAGGGTTAAACTACTGGTTATTTACATTATTTATTAATGCGCTGATTATTTTTTGGATTAGTCACTGAGGCTATAAAAAAGTGAAAAATAAAATTTTCTATCAACAGTCCAAACCCAAAGACATTCAATTCACAATAATAGAAAATCAGTAAATCCTTTTAATTAATCAAAATAGTTGCTGGTTAATTTATTAACGGATTGACTAATTAACTGACTGTATTTTAGCACATTTTGATCAATTGCACCCACACTGAGGTCCTTCTTGGTACCAACAAGGAAAAGTAAAACACTGGATGGGTCATTTTCCTTCATGGCGTCCTCCAGCCACTGCCTACACACACACACACACACACACACACACAATTATTATTCAAATGACATTTTAATGATATAGAATATAGGTAATTAGTTTATAATGGGTATTCCTTACCTGGCATGTGTTAAAGAGCTCACACTGCTTAAGTCAAACACCACTATAATGGCTGCAGGAGCATAAAGAGACAAACAGTATGAGCACAAGCAAACAAGGAGCACAGTGTGTAGGTGTTCTGTGTGAGAGACAATGTTGTTCATTTAGTCAAAGGTGAGAGGTGTAATAGTAGAGACTGAGCTGAATTCACCTTGTGCTCCTCTGTAATATGTTGAAGCGATGCATTTGAAGCGCTCCTGACCTGCTGTGTCCCACCTGAAATAGATCAGATTCAGCTTTAAAGGACCAGCGTGTAGGATTTAGTGGCATCTAGCCATGTAGTTGCAAATTAAAACCTTCTGGACTCACCCTCCCGTTCCATGCATGTAGGAGGAACGGCAAGTAACCGCAAAACTAACAAAAAACGATAAAACCCTAGAGCCAGTGTTCGTCTTTTCTGGGCTACTGTAGAAATAATGGCGATTCAGTCCTCTGTAGATACAAATGTGTCAAGTCATTAAGATTAATCTTCTAGGCAAGTCCATCCAATAGTTCAATAGTTGCTGAAATATTTCAGGAACAAAATGGTGCACCGAATGACATCTACATAATCTACACTGTAAAGCTCAAAAGCAGAAGAAGACAAAAGGGAAGCAAGAGAGCTACAGAGGACAAATAATTGACTATTTGCAAATTAAATAGTACAACCATGTTACAGCTGTGAAGGTTCCCTGACATTGTCCCATGCAGTCTGTCAGTCTGGGAAATTAACCTTAAAATCACATTAACTCTACACATGCATGACCAAAGCCAGCATAGTGAAGGAAACATGTCATTTAAGGCCCAATTAAGAGCCTAAACAACAAGCTAACTAAGTCTAGAGGCCGTTATATAGCATTAACATTATCTAACATGTGATTTTAAGATTTTCAGACATTCAAGAATTTTAACTTCATCATATGTTAAAATGAAGGCCGGGAAGCGTTGAACAGACCTTGTTGACCATTTGACCTTGTCAGCTCAGCAAGAGAATTACTTCGTTCAGGGCTCAGTCTATGAACTGAACTGTGACATACAGCGACATACTTACAGCTGTAAACTGAAGGGAACACCGAGCACCTCGAAACGCTCCATCTCAAAATCCACCCCTATGGTTGCTTTGTAGTTCTTATCAAACGCACCCTTACGGAACCTTACAGGCACAAGAGAACAGTGAGGATTAATATCAGAGCTGCATTTAACAGTCATTACTGTTATTATCAGAGCTGTGGGACTTATACAAAAATACTTCTCTAGTTGGACTTTAACATTAATTACTTATGACTTCAAACATTATGCCTCATCCCGCTCCTACCTTTATGTGTAAGGAAGAAGAAAAGAAGGACTTGAGCCTGAAAATACTTGATACCTTCCCCCCAAGCCCAAAGATTAAAACAAGTTTTTTTAGTTTTGCTCATCCAGGAAACGCAAACTTCAGGATTCCAGGGCTTGGGTGCAAAGACTACTAGAGATTGTTATAAACTACTCTCTCTCAACAATGTTTTTATTCATGATTTTGTCTTTATAATGTTAGTAAAATCTAAGGTAATAAATTATTTTTTATCTTACTTGATTAATTAAATACTAAATTATTGGAGAAAAAAGGTCTTCACCCAGACTGACATTTCAGGAGATCTAATGAAGGTATAATTGACTCCAGTTTCTTTATCTCTCTCCTGTATCAGACTGAAACTAACTCAGTTAGTCAGTCTCTTAATGAGGATTTGGACTTTTCCCAAAGAAAACGTGAGTCTCAGCTTTGTGCGCAGGTTTACTCTGTGTGTGTGTCCACGTGTGACCGAATTCTACATCATTACGTAACAACTTTAATTTGATAAAATGACTAAACAGACACAGTAACCCATTTCCAGCATCTTTTAGTTTTTGTGAAACAAAACGTAAATGAACTGCAGCTGCATACAACTACAAAGGAAACTCTTCAACAAGTAATAAAGTCACTGTTCCAATCAGACTTAAAATTGAATAAAAAAATCTAAAAACAGCCACATAACAACTTCATTCTAGTTATTCATGACTGCTTCTTACCTGCTGATCAGACACGTTTTGCCAACTGAAACATCTCCCACCACAATGACCTTGGCGATATTGAAGCTGGAAAGAGAAGCCGACAGCATTAAACAAACAGCAACCTCCTCAATAACATGCAGACAGCATTTCTCACTAATTAACCCCTTAAATATTCACAGCCCCCTCAAACTTTAATATTCTGCAAATGCATGAAGCCCTTAATGGTCCTCTGTGTGCTTTTACATTAAAGATGAATCATTTTAATAACTTACTTACTTAACAGACTTTCCATTGATCTCTCAAATTAAGGAGAATTTGGTATGATCGAGTCACTAATTATCTGCTAATGCTTTGACATTTACTTACAACCTACAACCTCTATCATTTTTATTCATTAAGTGTACACAAATGTACACACATTTATTTTGTGTTTGTATGTGTGACAAAATATTGTTTTGCATAATCTTTGCATTAATGAAGAAAAAGAGAGAAGGTCAAAATCTTCACTGCTTGTTTTTTACATGTTATGATTAACAAGTAATTCATGAATATTACAGTAGAGGGCTTTCATTGGAAGTGTTGACTTTGGTGGGTTATCAAAATGTTAATTAATGCTGCTTAGAAAAGGAAAATAAAGCAGGTGGAGGGAACTGTAAAGCCTTTGAAGGATAACTGGTGATATTTTCTATTTTCCTAATTGTCAACAAATCCTTTAATAACACTAAAACCGACAATTATTGATCAGCAAATATGCTCTATGTAGTCAAAGCCTCAGTGCCATAGACATCTATTGTTGTCCATAAAAGATTAAAAATCATCAGTGAGCCTTAATTATGATGGACATGGGCGCTATAGTTTGTTTTGAGTCAGTCCCACACTGTCTTACTGCTCACTAGCACATCAAATGTGTATTACTCATTACTGTATTACTAGTCCCAACTCCTGTCTTTGCTAAAAACTACATATGTGTGACTATAGTATCACCAGCCTCATCCTTTAAATAATCCACCACATTAATGCTGTCATATGTGATGGTCGATGGCTGTCAGCTAGCAGAGCGTGATTTAAAGGGTCTCGCCCGAACTAATTCATTTAATTTAAACACATATCGCCGTGTGTGCAATAGCAGGATGTGTTGTATGTATCATTAACCATTCTGTCATCTGACCTCACTGTACCCGTCTTCTGTACTTGGCACACAGCCTTCACCTGCGGGTGGAAGCCATCTTTGGTGTGCAGCGCTGCATTTGGACTAAAACACTGTGAAGAAAGTGGGAAAGAGTCAGACCCAGAAAAAAATCAGAAACTCAAGTCAAAATCATCCCTGCCTTCCTCCAGTCATTTGTTGCTGTCCAATGAAAACCTTGTATTTCCAAAGTATAAGCTTTATTTTGACCACAATAACTTTCTTAACTGTATTTATTATATTAGGCTTCTTTTGGGTGGGGGAACTTCCTCAGCTCACAGAGTAGCATTATAGAGCCTTCAAATGGAGTTAAAACAAACAAAAAAAGACTGCAGTTACAAGACTGCAGTTTTCTGAGGACAACAGCATTTGTACATTTGCAGCCGTCCACTTTCAGAGAAGCAAAGAGCAGCGTTTAAGACTCTTAATAGCCTCATCATCAATAGTAACACTGTTAGCTGTAATTACATTACAGAGCATGAGTTTGTATGTGTGTGTGTGTGTGTGTGTGTGTGTGTGTGTTGCTAACCTTTGGGAGCTGAGTAATGATCCGGTCCTTTTTCACAGGTGGCAACATGCTGCTGAAGTGGGTCAACACACACACACACACACCTTTAAGCTGCCACTTTCACTGACAGCAAACACACTTTTCATTCACTTCGAGAAGACACACACACACACACACACACACACTTAACTTTCTTTTTCTCACCACTCTTTCCACAAAACCAGAGAAGTTAATGTCTTCCAACTATTCCTGAAACAGAGCAAATGTCAGAAAGTTTAAGTTAAGTTGGTTTCAATATATGAGCAGGAAAGCAGAAGTGTTATCTTTTCTGTTGAAAACAAACAGTTTGCTGTGAACCATCATGAACTTAATCAACCCCTGATAAACATCCCAGAAAAATGAAGATGATTCAGTGGACCAGATCAAATAAAGGCATTGTCTTGTTCTATGGCAACACTGCAGCCCAAAAAGCATTTATCATTGGATAATTTGTAGTTTAAGTGTAAGGAAGGTAGAAAAAAAGTTTTTATAAATTAAGAATGGGACATCAGCAGAAAACAGAAAAAAACAAACTTTTTCTTAAAAGAAAAACGGTCTAAATACAGAGTCAAGAGTTTAAGTAGGTTGAAGAAGTTTACCTGAAAGTGCTGGATGGTAAAATGCTGAAGGAAATGTTGTTGTGGCTCTGGAGATAGGATGTGATATCCAAAGTCTGCTGAGGAAACAAATCCAGAACAAAATGACGCTCACAGCAACGAACTGAGTCTCTAGACAGAAAAAACGCGCATTTAATGAGATTCTCTGTGTAATTAGTGGGGGAAAAACAGCCTGTCAAACAGCGCCACCCTGCGGCGGAAGGATATACTAACTCAATTTACTGATTATCAATATCTTTATTTATGTAACACCAAATAAGCTACAGTTTGTTATAGTAATATATATTTCTCATTTTCTTTGTTGGTAGTAGGTAGTGAGTAATGATACACATTATTATAGACATTATTATTATGATGATTATTGTTATTGTTAAGCTACCCAGAGTGAACTCCCTTTACCAGCTTCAACATTAGTGATTCTTACATATAAATGCGTCAATAATTATGATATATATATTTATTATTCTTTTACTAAGTACAGTTTTGATGTAGGAGTTTTACTTGTAACAGAGCATTTCTAAACTGTGGTTTTGCTACTTTTACTTAAAGAAAACACCTGAGTGCTTCTTTCATTGGGGATTTATTACGGTATTTTGGGGGAAATTAATATAAACACTACACAATAGCAAAGGTATAATCCAACAAACATATTAGAGACAGAATAAATAGGAAAAAAATGAATAAAACAAATCCCAGGTGACGATTTACAAAAGCTACTTATATCCTGCAGTTCTAACTGTATTTACTTTTCCTACATGTGGGAGACTCTGAGTGTGAGTTCAGTTAAATGTGTTATAAAAGCATAATACTGAGACAAATTGACACACACTCATTTATAATATAATATCATTGGATTGTTATAAATCAAGCTAAGATAAGATAAAACATTCCTTTATTGATCCCCCTTAGGAAAAATTGAAATAGTTATAGTGAAGTAGAAAGTACAGTATACGCCTCTGAAATCCAATATGCCTCTATATCTTGAATTGTCCCTGGGATAAATAAAGTATCTATCTATCTATATATTGCTTTTTTATATATATGT